CGGTACCCCCACAACACAATGGTGTGGCAGAAAGGATGAACTGCACTATTATTGAAAGAGTTAGATGTATGCTCAAAATGGCAAAGTTGCCAAAGTCATTCTGGGCTGAAGTCGCCCGTACAGCCTGTTATCTTATCAACAGATCACCTTCAGTCCCGTTGAATTTTGTGATACCTGAGGAAGTCTGGTCCGGAAGAAAGGTATCATATTCTCACTTCGGGTGTAAGGCCTTTGCATACATCTCCAAGGAAAACAAATAGAAGCTTGATAACAAGCCCACTCCATGCATATCTGTGGGCTATTCAGATGCAACATTTAGGTACAAGGTATGGGACCCACTGAACAAGAAGATATTCAGAAGCAGAGATGTTGTGTTCCAAGAAGACCAGACAGTAGCAGATTTTGAGAAATCTACAAGTCTAGAGATGTCATCACTCCAGACTTGTTTCCATCTCTGGAGCCATCACAAAATGCTAGATGTGATGATGTGCAACAAGAAGTCCCAGAGTTGCAGGATCCTATGCCAGAAATTAAGGATCAAGAAAAAAGAGATGAAAACCCAGATGAAGAAAGTGTTGAGTAGGGGGAGCAACCCCCTCAACCATAGGCAACTGGGCCTCAGTTGCGGAGATCTAGAAGAGCTGTCGTGCCATCAACCAAATATCCCGCTTCTCAATATATTCTGATTACTGATGAAGGGGAGCCTGAGAGTTTTTCGGAAGCCAAGAGTCATACAGAAAAAGACTGTTGGATGCAAGCCATGAAGGAGGAGATGAGTTATTTGCAGAAGAACCACACTTATGAGCTTGTTCCACTTCTAAGAGACAGGAGAGCCTTAAAGAACAAATGGGTGTTTGAGTTGAAGAAAGATGGAAACAGTAAACTATTGCAACGTAAAGCTCGTTTGGTGGTCAAAGGCTTTGGGCAAAAGAAAAGAATTGATTTTGATGAGATCTTCTCTCCAGTTGTGAAGATGACTTACATTCGAGTAGCTCTGGGATTAGCAGCTCGCTTGAATCTGGAAGTAGAACAAATGGATGTCAAGACTGCTTTTCTCCATAGTGATTTGGAGAAAGAGATCTACATGGAGCAACTAGAAGGATTTGAAGTTAAAGGAAAACGGAATCTAGTCTGCAAACTGAAGAAGAGTCTCTGCGGCCTGAAACAGGCGCCGAGACAATGGTACAAAAAGTTTGATTCATTTATGGTGGATCACGAGTACACAAGAATCGTGGCAGACCAGTGTGTATATTTCTAAAGGTTTTCGGATGGAAACTTCATTATCCTATTGTTGTATGTCGATGATATGCTGATCATCGGATAGGATACTGCTATGATCAATAAGTTGAAAAATGGCATGTTGCAGTATTTTGACATGAAGAATTTAGGCCCAACACAGCAAATTTTGGGCATGAAGATTGTTCGTGATAGAAAAGCCAAGAAGATATGGCTGTCACAAGAGAAATATGTTGAACAGGTGATTAAAAGGTTCAACATGAAAGATGCCAAGCTAGTCAGCACACCACTGGCCGACCATTTCAATGTGACAAAGCGTTCATGTCCCACGACCAGCTCTGAAAGGAAAGAAATGGAAGCAATCCCTTATTCTTCCACAGTAGGAAGTTTGATGTATGCAATGGTGTGTACCCGGCCAGATGTAGCTCATGCAGTTGGCGTTGTGAGCAGATTCCTCGCCAATGCAGGAAAAGAGCATTAGGAGGTGGTCAAATGGATTCTTCGATACTTGAAGGGAACTTCAAAGATGTGTTTATGTTTCGGAGGAGCTGAACCAATTTTGGAGGGTTTTACAGATGCCGATATGGCAGGTGATCTTGATGGTAGAAAGGCTACATCAGGATTTCTGTTCACCTTTGCAGGGGGAGCTGTTTCATGGCAGTTCAAACTACAAAAATGTGTTGCTTTATCTATAACAGAGGCATAATACATTGCTGCCACAGACGTTGGAAAGGAAATATTGTGGTTAAAGTGGTTTCTCCAAGAATTAGGTCTACAACAGGAAGAGTACAAGGTACATTGTGATAGTCAGAGTGCAATTGATCTGAGCAAGAATTCCATGTACCATTCACGTACAAAACACATTGATGTCCGATATCATTGGATATGAGAAGTGATGGAAAAGCAGCTAATGAAACTAATGAAGATTCACACAGACAAGAATCCTTCGGACATGATGACCAAGGGTGTTACCAGAGACAAACTAGAAATTTACAAGAATTTGACCGGGATGGACTTCAAATGAAAAGTCAATTATCCATGTGGGCATGGAGGAGGAGAATTGTTAGCTTCCAACCCGCACTCCACATAGTGTGGGTGGCACCATGTGCTAAAGAAGGGCGATGGGGGCAACACCAACTCACTAAAGGAAGATAGTGAGGGTGGCACCACCTTGGCCAATTATGGCTGTCACTTCACCTACTCATCTTCTCTTGGTTATAAATTGAGATGAGTGAGGAGGGGTTGAGGACACGATGGGAGTGACACACAGAGCTGAAGAAAGCAAACACAGAGTGTATAATCTATGAGTGAGAGTGCATTTTATAGAGGGTTGTGAGGTGTGAGTTGTAATCTGCTTCCGGAATAATTCTATAGTGGATATCACTCCCGTGGACATAGGCAATTGTCGAACCACGTAAATCTCTTGTGTTATTGTGTGTGATTGATTTCTGGTGTCCCATAGTCCTAACAAAACGCAACCTCATCCGCCCCTAATGTCCAGCCTCCTCTTTTCGATTCGTACGCTCTTTCATCACACACTTTCCTCACTTTTTCGTGTTCCCCGCCCCCCACCACCCAAATATATATAGTTGATTTTGGGGTTACTGTCAAACACTTGGGTTGGCCTTGTTTGGGCTTTTATTTGGAGTAAATTAACCGTTGTGAATATATACTGTACTTGTCGTGTATAATGATGTGATGAGTGTATCAAATATTATGAAAAAGTAACTTGAAACTAGTTCAGAGCCCACCCAGTTGTGTTTTGTGTGCTTAGTTGAATCAAACCTTTTGTTGAATTGTTTAAGCTATGTTTTGGATTTTGGGTTTGTAGAGGGGAAAAAACAAGTTTTGGGTAGGAAAAATATAAGAAAATAGATAGGAATTTTGTCCCAAAAAAAAAGGGGGTCAAACTTCAATTTAGCCTGGTTTTGGCCGTGTGCGGTTTATCTAATTTTTGAAATTCACTGCTGGAAAATTGACTTTTAGCAGCGTTTTAAAAATGCCGCTATAGGTACTGAAAACATCGCTAATTAATTTTGTGACGTTTAGTACCAAACACTGACGACGCGGGTGTTGCTATAGCTTTATGGCGTTTGAAAAACGTCGTTATATTAGTATAGGCGGCCAAATGTCCTACCCTAATTTACTGTGACGTCACTATGACATTTAGCAACGTTTTGGAAACATCGTTAAAGACATTTATACATTTTAAAAATCTAACCGTTGGGGTAGGGATATAGTGACATTCAAAAAACGCCGCCATAGCCTTTATTTTTATTTTTTTTATTTTTAAAGTTGTGTTAATTTTATATGGTTGAAAAAAATACCTGTCATAAACAATTATTAAGAACTAATAATTGATGTTTATTAAAATAATAAATAAACTAAGTTTGAAAACAAAATTAAAAATAAAAAACAATGCAATAAGATGTGATACTTGTACAATTACAGAATATATCTAGACACAATTTATTAGAAATCCGGGAGGATATATTTACAAAGTCAGGCTTGAGAACTCATGCAGAAAGCAGAGAAGACATCTATACTCCTAATGACACAATACCGATAGTAGCAAAAGCTTGGTCTAGTTCATAAACAAAATTTTCTTTCTAAACGAGGCAAACTTTGCTAATTTGTCCTCTTGCAAAAAGTCATAGCCAGGACCAAATTAGAAAGGTTAATATCAGTACAATAGATTGACACATTAGATTAAATTAACTTAATGCATACAAGTGCATACCCCAAATCAACAATGATGATGCTGCATTATCTTGTGAACGTCGGTCCTGTAATATAGATAAATTTGCAGGTATGATCAAGCATTGTGCAAGAAAAATAAACATCCACGCATCCATTACCAGAGCTGCTCTTCCAAGCGCCTCACAAGCTAACAAAAATCAGAACAAAAGAAGTTAAAACTTTGTAAACTATAACACTGGTATACCAGAATTGAGGCAAATTTTTTACCTGAACATCTCCGTGTTGCCGAAGCTGATTCCTAACAAAATTAACCGCTTCTGAGCTGAAACAATAGCAAAGTTGATGAGATAATACTCATCTTGTGGTTAATTGAGAAAAATATTAAATAAATAACTATCATTCGAATTTAAGATAATTTACAGAATGTAAGTACAAGGTTCAAACAGGAAACCATAAACAGCACTGTCAGTATAAAGCACAGTTTTTACATCGTCATAGATATCTTCATCAGCAGTTCCAAGAGTTGCCAAGCCCAGACCCAAGCATGCACCATGCTGAATAACCTGCACCAATCAAAGTTTCCAACACTATTATAACAGAAATTCATGGTGCACAAAAGTAACCGAACAATAGATTATAGAGAGCAAGCACCTCTACATTGGTACTACACAGGATATCACGAAGAAATTGTTTGATACCCTCCCCATGGTTTGCATGAATCAAGCCTAGACTACTCAATAAAGCTATATATATATATATATAGACTACTCCATGTTAATATATATAGAAATTGTCCAATCAAACATTGAACTTAATTTTAAAATTACAATATATATATAGACTACTCCATGTTGATAGTAAAAGTGGACATCAAGACTCTCCTACAAAGTAAGAAACCAAAACAATCAGGATAAATACTTGATAGAAGCTGAGGGAGCATTTCATATATCATTAACAAATGCTAACTTCACAATTTACTTCACAATTTAAAGTAGCTTACCAATTCCAATTTGTATGATAGTAAACTTGAAGAATGGGTATGGTGGACGGACAATGGACGCAACAAGTAGACCTATTAACGACCCTGATATGGTAGCCAGAACAACGTTAAAAGGAATGAACCACCTGCAAAAGGTGAAAAAATGCTTGCTTAAACAACAAATCTCTGAGCTATTGCCATTAAGAAAACAAGAAAAACACCTAAATCTTACCACTCAATCATTTTCTCTAAAGTGATGGCTTGTCCGAGTTGAGAGAATATCAAACATGGAAGTAAATGAAAAAACCAATTGCACCACATAGTTTGAACAATCAGTTAGTTTGCATATATTGGCATATCACTAGATAACACTAAATAAGAAGACAGGTAGAAAGATTTTATTTTCTAGAAGAAAAAAAAAGCACTTGGTAATAATAAAATCTCATTGCCCATTGATTCTAGCATCTTTAGCAAAACTGAAAACTACATTGGAGGAAATTCACAATGTTTTACACAATTCTACAAGTTGAGGGCAACTAACTAAATCTTGTTGGTTTCTCAATCAGCCTAGATTCTAGCTGACAAATAGTACAAAGGGTAATCACCAAGACTCCTACTCATATTGCACTAAGATCTCTCCATTTCCACCTACTAATAAAAAAAATATTTAAAAAGAAAAAGAAAAGAGATCTCTCTAATTACACACACGAATATAATCTACAAGTCATACAGCAATACAAAAACTAGATCATCGGCTAGATAATTCAACACTCTTTACAAAAACAAGATAATAATAAGCTCGCTTAGCCCATTTGAAAGCTTCCTTCCATAACAAATCTCTGAGCTATTGCTATTAAGAAAACAAGAAAAACACCTAAATCTTACCACTCAATCATTTTCTCTAAAGTGATGGCTTGTCCAAGTTGAGAGAATATCAAACATGGAAGTAAAAGTGAAAAAACCAACTGCACCACATAGTTTGAACAATCAATTAGTTTGCATATATTGGCATATCACTAGATAACACTAAATAAGATGATAGGTAGAAAGATTTTATTTTCTAGAAGGAAAAAAAAAAACAATTGGTAATAATAAAATCTCATTGCCCATTGATTCTAGCATCTTTAGCAAAACTGAAAACTACATTGGAGGAAATTCACAATGTTTTACACAATTCTACAAGTTGAGGGCAACTAACTAAATCTTGTTGGTTTCTCAATCAGCCTAGATTCTAGCTGACAAATAGTACAAAGGGTAATCACCAAGACTCCTACTCATATTGCGCTAAGATCTCTCCATTTCCACCTACCAATAAAAAAAATATTTAAAAAGAAAAAGAAAAGAGATCTCTCCAATTACACACACGAATATAATTTGCAAGTTATATAGCAACACAAAAACTAGATCATCGGCTAGATAATTCAATACTCTTTACAAAAACAAGATAATAACAAGCTTGCTTACCCCATTTAAAAGCTTCCTTCCATTGGCAGGTAATAGCTTAAAATAAGCAAGAAGAAATCCCAAGAAGCAAACTGTAAAAACCTTTGCTATGGGTAAAACTGCTATCTTTGTAGTCCCAATCAATGACTCTCCTCCTCCATTTTGACTTTCCATTAGAACTTTTGAAAAAAACCTTTCCATATTTTCCAATGTAAACTTCCAGACTTCAAATCATCAAACAATAATGTTCCAAACTGCTGAAAATTGTTCTCCCCTATTTCAAGGTTGGAATTCTCAATGAAATCGAGTGTGAGCTAATTAACGGTTCAAATGCAACAAAAGGGTTTTTAAATTGTTAAAAAAATCCCCAGAAGATTGTAGCTTTATTGTATACAGAACAGATTTCCAATCCAAAAAATTCTTGGAAATCAGAATTCAGCCAAAGTTTCTCCACGCTGAGATCTTGATGAAACCTTCAACTCCTTTATTTATTTGTATTGCCTGATCTTCTTGCTCTGCAAAATTCACCCCAAAAGTTAATTAAAGAATGATAAAAAATGTAAATATTAATTGGACAAGTTTGTGTTTACATTCCAAAATAAAGCTATACGGTCAAAATAAAAAAAATAAAAACAAGACATTAACAAGTAAGAAAAAGAAGAGAAGGAAAATCGTTTGCCTATAATAGAACCCAAAAACAGCTCAACAGCTCATGGAATGGTTGTAAACATCTATGAACCAAAAACTAACGTTAATGAATAAGAACAAGAGCCAACCATTTAATAATCATTTGTTAATACATACCCCATAGAGGAAGATCGTCTAAACAATATTCGGCATGCCGGAAACCAAGAAGAAGAAGATCAGAATAGGGCAACATAAGTGAAGAATAGAGCTCTAACAAATATATAAGATATTATTGATATTCATCTCAATACAGTTGCATATTGATAGTATTACACCAAAAGCCCAAACTGTATATAAAATAACCCACATATATATATATATATATATATGTATGTATGTATAGAGAGAGAGAGAGCAAACCATTTGGGATTGAGGAACAAAGGGGAGCATTTACATCGATCTCAGCAACAATGCTAGCATCTTCGTGTCCAAATGAATCTGCAAAACCCAGAAGAAAAAAACATGAGGAGACAGAAATAGGATGAGAAATCAAGGGGAAAAAATAAGGAAAGACATGGAAGAGGGAAGAGCTTACATAAGAGAGACAAGTCTGAACAAGAAAAAATCAAGCAGCAGGAGAGAAGAGAGAGAAGTTTGGGGCTGGTTCTCTTGTTAGTAGCAGAGTTTCCACAGACTAAAGCAAGGGCAGTCTGTGATTCATCCTCATCTTCATCAACAACATCTATTCCCTAGTTAAAGGGATGATGATATCTCTGATAGTGCACCATCTTCTTCTACAACAGTGCAGAAACAGAGAGAGACAGACAGAGAATAGAACAAATGGGGTTTTGGTTCTTTGATAAAAGGGTTTCTGGTGTTGCTCTGGTTATTGGAATGGGCGTATATATATCTTGAGCTGAGATTAATGGAACTCCAAAACTGGCGGTTGAAACAAAGTGTATAAATATTACAATATCCTCTAGATGAATTATGGAATATTGCAGACACTATAGAAGCAAAAAATATAGAAAGCAATTAATTTTGTTCAATGTACAAAGGTGGTGATTGGTTGTATATATGATGTTGCTATCAGTAAATCATCTGAAGCTTCTAAAATGTCATAATACAATTAATTTTCGCATTTATCAATAAATATACCCATCAGTTTAGAGAAACAAAAAGTGACTGCTTGTTTGATACAAACCTAGAACTAGTCAAGAGTATAGGCTTCGAAATGAAGAGTTTCAGAGAGAGACAGAAATCTGCAATCTGCATTTGATCAACTAGTTATGATGGTCCACAATAAAAATATATAGGTGGGAAAGATCCATTTAAATATGCTTACAGTAATAAAGCCCAAGCGCAAGGCCATGTAGTCAGCTTGATTAATGGAACTCCAAAACTGGCGGCTGAAACAAAGCTGTACACTAAAATAGCGTGAGTTTGAATTCTGAACTCACTTGGCAAAATGATAACTATAAAAAGCAACCAAAAGTACCAAAAACCAAGAGATAAAAGCAATATAATTAAAGAGTTCATTAGTACGAAACTAAATGGTTGTGAAACAATGTAAATTGAATGTAAAAGCACATAATCTAACTAAGAAAATGTGATGACAGTGTACACATACACAAGTGTGCAAGGTCAAGACTCCGTGTCACTGGTTGTCATCTGATTCAAGAAATGTTTCTACTCTAGAAAATAAAAGAAACAGAGTGAATTATTCTGAACTAAATAATAGAATCCTACAATTGAAGCCTTGAACGGATATTTGGGTATCGTCTTGAATTTATTGTACCATTCACTTAATATATAGCATTTCATTGTAAAAATAGTATGCCTCATCGAACCATGAAGAGTCAGAACCGATCTAGGCTGTCTAACATTCTAAGGAGCGTATACTTTGTTGAACAAGCCAGAAAGGGAATCATCATTCATGCCTGTTTGGTTATAATTTTGCCTGTTTTTTTCTGTTTTCACCATACAAATTTTCTTAAACCATAACTTGTGTAATTACTCCTCCACAATACCAAGTTGTAAAACAGAAATATTGCCATCTCCTGGAAGTTTCTCAAGGACTTCGACTGGGAAATGGAAATGAGTTGCCTAGTAAAGTCTAATGTCTTAATTTAAAGATGGTTGCTTAACTAAGTAAAGTGATGGCTCTCATAAAGAACTACTCCAGGTTGAACTTATCAGATAGAAGACACTATTAGTAAATATTTACTCCATATGGATATTAAATTCTGTAATTCCAAGAAAACGGGAAAGTACATACACATTAGAAAATGTGGAGAATTTACCTACTTTCCCCTAGGGTTCTATTCAAGAAGATAAAATTCTTTATTTAAATTTTAAAAGCCTATGGAGCCATTCAAGTTCAAGGGAACCACAAACCATATCCTAATTATTTTTTGATGATTTTATCCGCATGGTACACTAATCTTTCTTATCTAATCATCTAAACCATTTGTGACCATCAATACCTAACAAAATGCATTTACTTTTCCTTCTCAAGAAATATGATCATATTTACAACAAGAAGCCCTTTTTATCCTTTCATATTGAATGCCCTGGGTCGTCTTTCAGCAGCTACAACTTCTCTTAGGCTTCATATTCATTTTACCACCCCAAAGCAACTGGAAGCATGTTCAAGTAAGACCCTCAGCTAATCATTACTTGAGCTGCATTTTCACATTTTTAGGATGTTTAGTAGTATACCAGCAAATTCATTTCCCAATTGAATAAATAAGTAACAACAAAAAAAAATGACACATTTTAACATCGCACAGACACAATAATTTAAAAAGGTGCACTACCAGCCAAACAAGAACTCTATGCTGGCTCCATGGATGGGATGTGTGGTGAAAAATGAAAGTTGATAGTCGCCTCATTTTTGTGTGGTTTGAGGCAGATTGCGGGGAACCTAGATTAAAATTTCAATATGGCATGATAGAAATTTTCTAATGAAGAACATCTGAACTAAACTCTTAAAAGATAAAGGGTACTTCAAAAAGGAGAAGAACAAAATCACCCCTACAAAACTTTTCGCACCTTGTAGTTCCTGTGGAGCCATTGACTTCGCTTGATTTTCCCATGTTCTCCAGCTATAAATCTGCATGTACAAGAAGAAAAATCTTAGGGCTCTCTTGAGAAGAAAAATTCCAAAGATACAGAAAGATGATACATTTTGAAGAAGAAACACTGACTTTGATCATGGCAAGGGCAATGGCAAAAAAGCTATATGATACATAGGTAACACCAAGAACAAACAAGAAACGGTGAAGTTGCTCAAGACTTTCATATGAAGTGAATGATTCACGGCCCTGGACAGATAGCAGATGTTTAAGCTACTAAGCCATATATGATAAATAATTAACCCAACAAATTCAAATGATCTGTATTTTCTTTGGAAGTGATTAAAAGCGTTCACAATAATTAAGAAGTGATTAAAAGCGTTCACAATAATTAAGAAGTGATTAAAAGTGTTCACAATAATTAAGGAGTGATGAAAAGGTAAATAAATTTATGATGGTAAAGACAGTCCGAGTACTTGCATGAAATGAAGAAGCACTACTACTATTGTACTCTAGAACATATCATTCTTTGAAAAGCTACATTCTGGCAGGAAACAGTTGATTATGATATTCCCTATCACTTAAACATCTAAAATTCTAAAAGCTTCTACCAATATCACAAAGGCCTTTTGCCTTTTGAAATGTTGTTCTCAATAGCCATTGCCTCTTGTCACCAAATTCCTTCATCACGATTCACAACACTTATGGCTGCCTCTATCTCTCATACCTCTCCAAAGTAGTTAGGACCAACTTTGTCTTTAATACTGTTAAGTCACCAATTGTCCCAAAAACTCAAGCTATTAGGAAATAGACCAAACAATGTATATCAAGCTATTCAACAAATGCTTTTAATTTCATAACACATGTCATAATACAAGATCATAACATGAAAATAAATTACTGAACATTCAAAAATTAGTACTTCAGTTGAGAACCAATTGACTCCAAATGTTGTCAATCAATTCAAATACCTTAAGATTACAGTCAATCTAAAAATAGCAGAGAGAAAGCACATACACTGGAAACATTTTATTCAACCTGTATTCTGCATCAGTTTTTCAAATTATATAGTACATCAAGAAATTCCATAAGTAACACTGGTATCTTGTTTATTTAGGGTTGCAAACGAGCCAAGTTGAGCTTTGGGGTGTTCAAGCTCGTCTCACTGAAACTTAGTCAAGCTCGAGCCGAGCTCAAGCCGAGCCTAAAAAATTAAGCTCGAGTTTGGCTTGTCTAATAATTGAGAAACTTGAGCTCAACTGGATCACATATACAGCCCGAGCTCAAGCTTGAAAAGAAAAATCAAACTTAAATTAACATGCACATAAAGAGAAAAAAGAGAAGATTATGAGCAAAATATTTAAAAAAAAATGCTCATATTATTAATAAATTTCATCAATCAAATATGCAAATTTACACAACTACCAAACATCATTGAAATATCAGTAAACAAAGAAATAAAATAAATTAATATATTTGATATAATGTTAACTTTAAAAAAAAATTATATCCTTCTGTTCAAGAGCGTATTTATTTGAGCTGAACTTCAGTCTACCTGAGCTTGACTTAATTACTAAACAAACCTAAAAGTTTGGCCTAGTCAAGAGTATAGGCTTCATTATTATTGAAGATCATAATAATGAATTAAGAGAGATGTTTCCATTACAGCACTGAAATAGGCTTCGAAATGAAGAGTTTCAGAGAGAGACAGAGAGATAATGGAGCTCACCTTAGTAGACAATGGTGCAAATGGTGTTTTGGATCTTCAAAATCGAAATCGCTCTGAGATGAAATCACTGAGACCGATCTGAATCTCTGTGAATGATAAGCGTTTAGAGATGAATTGAAAGAGATGTTTTTCATTACAGCACTGAAATAGGCTTTGAAATGAAGAGTTTCAGAGAGACGATGGAGCTCACCTTAGTAGACAATGGTGCAGATGGTGTTTTGGATCTTCGAAATCGAAATCGCTCTGAGATGAAATCACTAAGACCGATCTGAATATCTGCGAATGATAAGCGTTTAGAGAGGGTTGCGAGAGAGAGAGAGAGAGAGAGAGAGAGAGAGAACTCACCTACCTCGTCGGTGCAGATGGTGATGGCGGTGGAGCTTCAAAATCGAAATCAGAGATACAGATGAAATCGAAATCAGAGAAGGCATAAGGATTCAAAATAAGAGAACTTCGAAATCAAAATCAAAACCGATCCGTTGAGTTCTGCTGGAAGAGATTAGGGCATCTGTTTAGAGAGAGAGAGAGAGAGCGAACGATAGACTGATGAGTGAGTAAAAGATTAGGGCATCCTCCTGACGAGTGAACGAGTGTATTTACCGGCTCGCCAGAGAGAGGACATTCGAAGACGTTTTTCAATGCCTTCAAATAGTTAAACGGTGCCGTTTTAATATTGAACAAAAACCGTTAAAGAAACGTCGTCAAAACCTATAATTCCTGTAGTGATTACCACATAATTTGTGGACTGAAAGGCATTGGTGCGTTAACAATTTAATGAAAAAAAACTAAAATATTCTATATAGATAGATATTTTGTCCTCAAAAGAAAAGAATAAAAGAAGAAAAAGCCTAAAACATTCATTTGGTTACCCATAAAAAATGAGAATTTTAAATGTGTTGAGGGTTTTTAGTTGTTCTGTATGTAGAAACATTTTAATGTTGAATCCCTTGAACAAAAACCGTTATGTGTTTGGATATGTTGTGTCAAGAACTGAATCCTCTAAGGAAACTCTAATTATTTTTTTTTTTTATCATGCTTTTGGAGCCATGTTTTTATCAATCATATTTCTAGGGGATGGAGAGCCATTTGTAGAATGTGAGAACGTATTTTCTTTTTCCTTTTCTTTCTTTCTTTATTTTTTAATTATCTTGGCACACTTCTTGGCTGTCTCCCTCTTTTACTTGATCCTTCTTCATTTTAATGAATTTTTTCGATGTTACAGAAATTAAAAAATGTTTTTATTGTAGATTTGAATGATGGAAGCAGTAATAAAGAATAGACATCCCTCGGAGTTTTTTGATATTAGCACAGAGGATGTTTATTATGTGGTTATTCTAATGTTTTATATCATAAAAATTAGGGCATCACCTCTAGCAATTTCTGCTCATTTTTTAAAAACTTTTATTTTCTCTACCTAATATGGTAAATATGTTGGTATATAAAATACATCGCTTCGCTTGACATGTTAGTACCACATAGAATTGGAACCAGTTTGGCGGGCACGGTATCACTTGGTTTCAGCGGGTGCTTGTGCTGTGCGTTTGGCCTGTTTGAGTTTGTGTCAAGTCAAGTCCACACATGATCTGAAATTGACTTATTAATTTTCAACTATTCTTTTGGTCTTTTTGCCTTGTGTTTTTTGTAATTTTTCCCGGAAAACCAGTTTGTATGCTCTACTTCAAGATAAACGTATATGTGCATACATATATGTTTATATGTAATAACTTTGAGGTTCAACAGATTGGTTCAGTGGGTAATTGTTTACGTTCTTTCTTTTTCAGAGAGCCATTAGGGTTCTCATATGAGTTTGTTGTTTTCCTTTTTCTTGCCATTTTTACTTGAAAAAAATTATCTGTTACATTAGGGAAAGTAATTAGAAAGATTATTCCACCGCAATTCTGGAGCGCAAGAAGTACCCCGACCGTCTAATCGTTGATGTAGCTATAAATGATGATAATTCTGTGGTCTCAACACACCCTGCTAAAATGGAACTGCTTCAATTGTTTCGAGGAGACACAACTTTAATCAAGGTGATTTTCTTCTTCTACTTTTCTGTGTATGGTTGGATTAATCTGTACAAGTTTTTGAACAAACTGACTTTTACAGGGGAAGAAACAAAAAGATACAGTTTGCATTGCTCTTGCCGATGAACAATGTGAAGAACCTAAAATCAGAATGAACAAAGTTTTTCGAGCTAACCTTGGGGCTCGTCTTGGAGACATTGTATCAGTCCACCAGTGTCCGGATGTGAAGTATGGAAAGCGGGTTCACATCCTTCCAATTGATGACACTATGGAGGGCCTCACCGGCAACCTCTTTGATGTATATTTGAAGCGTAAGTCTACACAATGTTTATAATTGTACGAGCACGAAATAATCTTCTCATATAATCCTGTTGATCAAGTTTGCACTCCTCCAAACATCGTCGCTTTACTTCCTGAAAACACAAACGTGAGCTAACCGGCGGGTGTGTGCTGGATACCTCTCCGATGCATAAGTCAGCAAATAGACAAAAGACAAAAAGGTCTGTGTTTTTTAGAGTAGAAATTGTGATACCTGTCCATAGGTCCTGTCATGAGCTTTTGTAGATTCTACCTGGTACAATCCTAGTAGGACTTCAACTCTCTTTAGTAGAGTCCTCCTACGAATCACACTCCTAGTGAAGAGTGTCTATCATGATAACACTTTACTTACTACCAACCAAGTAAGATGGTTTTCACCTTTGTCTAAGCTGGTGCAACCTACCGGAGCTAGATTATTTCGGTCATGTTCTCACCTAAGCAATGATGTAGATGGCATTCGACCGAGCTACACCTAGCTCGGCCTTCTTTCTTACAAACACCTCAGCCAGCCACCAGGCCTAGTTTTTAGGTAGCTCGATCAAACCCCTCTGCCCAGTTTGGTACCCAAACAACATGGGACCAAGCTACTTGAAGCCCATACCCCGACCCTTAGTCATGCCCAAAACAGATATTAAAGGATCGTAGTTTAGCCCAATTTTTCTTTATAAATTACCCTCTCAATTGCCCTTTAATTCCATTTGCAAAGCATGTTTGGGATTATCTTTCTCCACCCGAGCTAAAACACTCATGCAACCGACCTGAAATAAGCAACAACACCGAGATTAAAATATTCAATCCCACCAAGCTGGGTTAGCTCGGTCCTTAGTACCGTGCCTGTCACAGCTTGTTGTTTCACGTACCTGACATCATGTCCTATCCGTGACACGTGGCACCTATCCATTGCGCCTCTGTTCTATGACAGCCGTCACACACTTACCAAAAAATATTTGAAAAGTTCCGCCGTTTCGTGCCACCACAAAACCCATTACTCGAATCAAACCCTCATTGTTCACCTTTTTCCCCTCTGCACTTCTGAAACCTGCTCTTGTTCCTCCTGTGCTCCAGTTCCTTCCTCTTCACTTGCTC